CATCGTCGGGAAGTTGGCGGTTACATTCCAATAAAGCCGTTGGTCCTGTGCCTGATCTCTCTCAGGTCGTGTCGGTTTGCCGTCCTGGATTATGAAAGTAAGGGAATAGAGAGTGTACCTTTGCTTGCGCATACATCGAACACTAGGCTGTCTCCTGTGACGCCGGCCGACGCTGTTCCCCGTCCTTGATTCAAGTATTTCATGGCTGGCAAAAACGAGGTGATCCATTTGTCGTAAACTATGATATTTTTCCAGCATTTTACATAGTCGCCCTTTACACACCCAATGGATAGAACGGGGATGGCAGATTGTACAACATTGCGTAAGTTTAAGCGAAAAAAGTTTAAGAGAAAAAAAAACTTCCTAAAATGTTGTTTTACTCATTTAAAATAAAATGAGAATCAAGTAAGGAGTTGTATTTTACGAACCTTAAAATAACAGCTTACAGCATAATCAGCTGGGTAGCGATCACCTTATTCCCAGGAGTTATTATCGTCCATAAATTGAATAAATCTATACATATTATACGGATTTTATCGCGTTTTAATTAACGTATTTAAACTTATTTTTAATTCTCTTGTGCTCATGTATGAACATACAGCTATGAATGGGGTAATATATAATATATGAACAAATAGCTGACGTGAAGCACCCACGCTCTGGGAGTTCTGCAGATTTGACATCAGATTTGATAAACCACAAACCCTCGCCTACCAAAAACACCGATTCCTACCAAGGATGATAAGCGAGACTATTCAATAAGAAAAAAAGATTCTAATTTTAATAGAGAAGATGGATGGGTGCTGCCATCTCCTTGGGATTTTATTATTAAAAAAATTAAATTCAAACCCAAGCTTACTACTGCAAGACTTCGAGATGCTGTGAGCTCGTTCTACATAGATCGGACTAAAAATTTATATTCAAAAACTGAAGGTTACCGGGCTAACTATGACATTGGGACGTCAAACATCTCAGTACCCCCGTGACCATGGGTGCTGTAAAGCACCCGAAACGTCGGGAATTAAAATTAGTTAATTAAACGATAAATAGTTAAAATCCGTATATATAGTTTTATTCAATGTGTAGTGTTCGCGTACATTCAAGAAATCATTATTGTACGTAAATTCCTTAATATTATAATAACCCCTTTTATATACACTTAGCCTGAACTGTTGTTGTCAGTTATCATTAGGTAGAATGTTAGCTTGTCCAGATATATTATAAAATTGGCAAACTGTTTTGCTACAGCACGAGTGGTTTCGCCAGGTTGGATCACGCTCCCACAGAAACACAGAATAGCAGTTACGAATAGCTTTGTGGGGCTCAATTCTTCACAATTGGCATTTCTAATAGTTGTAACAGATGGGTTTATAGATCATTATCGTCAGTTCCCATTTTATTTTATTTTGCAAAGCGTGAAACATCGGTGAGTCACACGATGTCCCGGTTACAGATATTTGCCATCCACGTATCTTTGTTATATTGAACACGCGTTGTGCGTGTGACTCAGATTATCAAAATGGACTAAAATAAAAATAGCTTTTAGGAAAGCTTTTCTTCGCAAGACATAAGCGTAATGTTTCTTATATGCGGACTCCTGTTGTCTTTGTCGAAATTTTTAATATAATAATGACATTAATATCATGAAAACTGGATATGACATTTTTAAATATTATAATACAATGAACATAACGCTAAAAGCTAAATGAAAAGTAATTCAAGTATGTTATGTAACGAAAGAATGTTAATGAAATGTTTATTTATTTATTTATTATTGCCGCCGTGTTTAGCGCTATGGGTCAGCCGATTGGGATGGGATGCGGTCTTTCCTTGCATCCTACCCTTAGGGGCGGGTTTGCTTCTCGCCGGACGATCCCAACGTTGTTGCGGATTCTGTCGCTGATGCGGTACTTCAGGGTATGGAACTTTTTATTCCTTCCTCTGTGGTGCCCATTGGAGGCAAATCTCAGCCATGGTTTGGTCGCTCCTGTAAAATAGCATCATGCTATAAGCAGGAGGGCTATCAAGCCTGAGCTGACACATCAGCATCCCGGGATGTAAACACCAGCGCTCTAAAAAAGAAGTATAATTCCGCTTCTAGGCTCTTTCTTTGCGTCCAACTCGACTCGCGATGACGGGGGGAGTACGCCGCCGAACATCCCGCGGTGTGTGTGTGTGCTCCATGCCGGAAGTGCAGTTCACACAGTGCTCGGTTCGCAAAGCACTCCTCTCCCTGCACATCTACAAGTCGAGTGGGCCTGACGGAATCCCCCCAATTGTGCTGAGGACGTATGCTCCAGAGTTGGCACCGGTTTTAACGCGTCTTCTCCGGTACTCCTACACCCTAGGCGTAGTTCCAAAATCATGGAAGACGACTTTCGTCCACCCGATCCCTAAAAAAGTTGACCGCTCAGACCCGTCCAACTACCGGCCTATCGCCATCACCTTCTTGTTCTCCAAAACAATGTGTCCTTTGTAAACTGCCAGCTCATGACCTTGAGGATCACCAGCTGATTAGTGACCGCCAATACGGTTTTCGCCGTGGTCGGTCAGCTGGTGATCTTCTGGTCTACCTAACTCACAGATGGGCGGAGGCAGTAGAGTCCAAGGGGGAGGCATTGGCCGTTAGTTTGGACATTGCGAAGGCCTTCGATCAGGTTTGGCACAAAGCGCTTCTTTCGAAGCTCCCTTCCTATGGGCTTCCCGAGAAATTGTGCGATTGGATCACCAGCTTTCTTGCAGATCGGAGCATCAAGATAGTTGTAGACGGTGCAAGCTCCGATTGCAAGCCTATTAATGCTGGTGTTCCACAAGGCTGCGTGCTATCGCCAAAGCTGTTTCTTCTGCATATCAATGATATGTTGCAAACCCGTAACATTAATTGCTATGCAGATGACAGCACTGGTGATGCTCTTTACACCAGCCGAGTCAGAGTCTCGGATTGAATCTAAATCTAGTCTAGTTTAACCCCCAGAAGACACAAGTTTGCGCGTTAACCGCTAAAAAGAACCCCTTTGTCGTATCTCCTCAGTTTCAAGGCACTCCCCTTGTTGCCTCAGCCAGTATCGGAATCCTCGGCGTCGACATAGCGAGTGACGTGCAGTTTCGTGGTCACTTGGAAGAGAAGGCCAAATTGGCCTCTAAAAAGCTTGGCGTGCTCAGCAGAGCGGGACTGTATTTCATGTCGGCACACCGCCTGCAACTTAACAAGGCGCAGGTTCGGCCGCACATACTGTTCCCTCTGAGCTGGGGCTCCCCAGTACCAGCTCTTTCCACTTGACCGCATCCAGCGCAGAGCGGCTCGATCGACAACCGAGTGCTTTCCGATCGGCTCGATTCACTGACACTGCGAAGAGATGTTGCATCTCTTTGCATTTTCTTTCGCATATACCATGGAGAGTGCCCTGAGGAATTGTTCGGATTAATCCCAGCCGCCAAATTTCGTGAACGCACTACGCGGCAAACGTCCCGATACCATCCACACCATCTGGATGCTTGGCGGTCCACCACTGTACGTTTCAAAAGGAGTTTTCCGCATACAACCTATCTGTAGAATAGTTTACCACCGGCAATTTTTCCGGACCGATACGACTTGGGGACCTTCAAGAAAAGAGCTTACTCTTTTCTAAAAGGCCGGCAACGCACCTGCAATTCCCTGATGTTGCGGTTGATCATGGGCGGCGGTAGTCACTTAACATCAGGTGAGCCGCATGCTCGTTTGCCCCCTCTTCTATAAAAAAAATACAAAATGCTTAAAAGCTGACCTCAAATTTGATATCAGTTAAAGTGTGACCAAAGGCCAGTTTATCAATTTTGCGCGGCCTTGTTTGTACGAGTCACCACTTCCGGTTGATTTATCGGAAATTATATTATTATTTAAATATTAACAATAAATATTCATTATATTTGAATATGTCCATATGAGATTCATAAATTTAAGAATATAAAATTTGTTGTTTTTTCTAATTTGATGTTTGACTCCTCTTTTATTTTTCGGCTACAACTACGGTTATCTACGACTACTTGTCCAAGGAGATGAATCCCGAATATGAGGTCCAAGGTTCGTATCCCGGGTCGGACCAAAAATTAGTTATTGTGTTTGTCTGTCAAGAAATTCTCAGTAGCAGCCTGGAGTTCTGGAAGTTGGCGGTGCTTTACTCCGGACAGCACGTAAAGCAAAGCCGTTGGTCCTCTCTCCATACGAATTATCGTCCCATCGAACTATGAGTGTGGGATAAGAGAGTGTACCGGTGCTTGCGTAATACATTCGGGCACTATAATCTTATCCTATATCTCTCCTTTAAAAGGGGTCCTTTCTAAAAGTTTAGTTTTACCTCATTCAGTGTTGATTTTTGAGTTCCACTTTTTGGCAATGGTGTATTAGATGGCACGAATTGCGATTTATGGGTCGTTGAATATGAGTAACCTAAGTTTATCACACCACTACAGTCTATCAGAGTGTGAAGGTGTGCCGCATCTATAGATAATTCACAGTGGGGATGGTTGCCATAGTAAGTTAGATAGTAAGTTAGATAATAAGTCAGATGGTTCGTTAGCAGTTGTCTACAGTTTATTACTTTGAGTTGTTAAAGTATTGTGTTTGACATATCGTTTTGAGATGTTATCTTAGAAGATTCTCTAGAGATAACAGTTTGTACTAGAATTAAACAATTTTTAGCTTGACCTCTTATGGCGTCGTGTTATGTGCAAGGCGACTATAGGAAACAGCAAAAGATTTATATGAGTGTAGCCAAAGATAGTGTATACACTACACTATCACAGAGTGTAGCGGGGTAAACATTCCGTATAACATAAAATCAAAGCGACGTCATGATACAGTACGAATAGCACGAAATGCGAGACATATAGTGCTGTTCGTACTACTATCAAAATATCACCTACAAGCGTGGCAGTTATGGGAAATCGTTCGTACTGTGGAAGAGGCCTGTCTGCAGCACTGAGCTGTTCGAACGACTGCTCTTAAAATAAGTAAAACTTACCAGTTTCCGTGAATTTAGATATTTGTTTACTTATGTATGAAGTCTCGGTAACGTTTGTTTCAGCTGTCATTATTAATCTATAATAATATATTATTTGACGTTCTCGTGGATAATTGCTACGTTATATAAATCTTCCGGAAATGGACAAAGGTTGCGTTCAGGATTTGCGTGATATTTATAATCGGCGTAAGCAAGCGTTTCAATTAAATTGAAAATGCCTAATTATTACTATTGTTTCTTTTCAAATAAACAATGGTTGTTGACGCAGGTGAGGAGTGTACATCATGAGCTGTACACGTAACTTTGGAGGTTAATTATAGAGATGTTAAATTACATGATAAACATGAGTGAGTGTGGAGAAGGGATATTGACGTACTTTCTATGAAAAGGATAAAAATTCTTTGTGTATTTCTGTAACATCATTTATGTAATATTGTTGTAATTTTTTCAGAATTATAAGTACACAGTTAAGCTTATTACTAAAGGTTTCATTATAAAGCTTCAATCTCAGAGTAAGTACAACCTATGTAGGTACATACATACATTCAACATACATTCTTACCTATAAGGGTTGAATTATTGATAGATAGAATAAATATTATTGAAGGAATATTGGCAGGTCACAGGAAAAAAATTCCTTTATTGGCTTCTAATGATAGCTTTACATACTTACTGTGGTGTACTAGGTACAGGGTACGAGTATACACATCTATAATATCCGTGATTAATTATTTTATTTGTTAGTCCATTTATTATTTAATATTCCTTTTGTTATGAATTATGAACCATATATTATTCACTATAATAAATAATATACGTAATATTTTTCACCGCCTTTATATTATCTATTTGAAACTGTAGATAAGTTTGCTTAGATCTTACACGTCTTCTGTGAGCATTTTTACAAATGGGTAAAAATTCTCACCAAAAGCATGTAAATAAATAGGTGCAAAATGAATTGTAATGTTATGCATGCAGCATTTTTTTTATAGAAGAGGGGAAAAACGAGCATGCGGCTCACCTGATGTTAAGTGACTACCGTCGCCCATTATTAACCGCAACACCAGGGGAATTGCAGGTGCGTTGCCGGCCCTTTAGAAAGGAGTAAGCTCTTTTCTTGAAGGTCCCCAGGTCGTATCGGTCCGGATAAATCGCCGGTGGTAAACTATTCCACAGAGAGGTTGTACGCGGAAGAAAACTCCTTTTGAAACGTACAGTGGTGGACCGCCAAGCATCCAGATGGTGTGGATGGTATCGGGACGTTTGCCTCGTAGTGCGTTCACGAAATTTGGCGGCTGGGATTAATCCGAACAATTCCTCAGAGCACTCTCCATGGTATATGCGAAAGAAAATGCAAAGAGATGCAACATCTTTTCGCAGTGTCAGTGAATCGAGCCGATCGGAAAGCACTCAGTCGTCGACGATTCGAGCCGCTCTGCGCTGGATGCGGTCAAGTGGAAGGAGCTGGTACTGTGGAGCCCCAGCCCAGAGATGGGAACAGTATTCCATGTGCGGCCGAACCTGCGCCTTGTAAAGTTGCAGGCGGTGTGCCGGCATGAAATACTGTCCCGCTCTGCTGAACACGCCAAGCTTTTTAGAGGCCAATTTGGCCTTCTCTTCCAAGTGACCACGAAACTGCACGTCACTCGATATGTCGACGCCGAGGATTCCGATACTGGCTGAGGCAACAAGGGGAGTGCCTTGAAACTGAGGAGATACGACAAAGAGGTTCTTTTTAGCGGTGAACGCGCAAACTTGTGTCTTTTGGGGGTTAAACTGGACTAGAGTTAGTCGCCCCCAATCCGAGACTCTTCAGTAAAGACTCGACTTCAGACACAAGTTTGTCCCGGCACTCGGAGACGTTTTCCCGAGAAATATTGGCTCGGCCGGTGTAAAGAGCATCACCAGTGCTGTCATCTGCATAGCAATGGATGTTACGGGTTTGCAACATATCATTGATATGCAGAAGAAACAGCGTTGGCGATAGCACGCAGCCTTGTGGAACACCAGCATTAATAGGCTTGCAATCGGAGCTTGCACCGTCTACAACGACCTTGATGCTCCGATCTGCAAGAAAGCTGGTGATCCAATCGCACAATTTCTCGGGAAGCCCATAGAAAGGGAGCTTCGAATGAAGCGCTTTGTGCCAAACCCGATCGAAGGCCTTCGCAATGTCCAAACTAACGGCCAATGCCTCCCCCTTGGACTCTACTGCCTCCGCCCATCTGTGAGTTAGGTAGACCAGAAAATCACCAGCTGACCGACCACGGCGAAAACCGTATTGGCGATCACTAATCAGCAGATGGCGATAGGCCGGTAGTTGGACGGGTCTGAGCGGTCGCCTTTTTTAGGGATCGGGTGGACGAAAGCCGTCTTCCATGATTTTGGTACTACGCCTAGAGAGTAGGAGTACCGGAAAAGATGCGTTAAAACCGGTGCCAACTCTGGAGCACACGTCCTTAGCACAATTGGGGGGATTCCGTCAGGCCCACTCGACTTGTGAGTCCAGGGAGAGGAGTGCTTTGCGAACCGAGCGCTGTGTGAACTGCACTTCCGGCATGAAGCACTCACACCGCGGGATGTTCGGCGGCGTACTCCCCCCGTCATCGAGAGTCGAGTTGGACGCAAAGAAAGAGCCTATTAGATCGGCTTTCTCCTTTGCGCTATGGGCCAGTGAGTCGTCTTCCCTGTGCAGAGATGGAAGAGATGGAAGAGATGGCTGACAGAAATTCCCCTGGACAGCCTTGGCGAGAGACCAGAATGCACGGGTTTCAGAAGAAAGGCGAACTAGTTTCTCGCCAATTCTACCTATGTGCTCTGACATTGCCTTGGCAATGACTCTTTTGAAGGACCTAGAGGCGGAATTATACTTCTTTTTTAGAGCGCTGGTGTTTACATCCCGGGACGCTGATGCGTCAGCCCAGGCTTGGTAGCACTCCTGCTTATAGCATGATGCTATTTTACAGGAGCGACCAACCCATGGCTGAGATTTGCCTCCAATGGGCACCACAGTGGAAGGAATAAAAAGTTCCATACCCTGAAGTACCACATCAGCGACAGAATCCGCAGCAACGTTGGGATCGTCTGGCGAGAAGCAAACCCGTCCCCCAAGGGTAGGATGCAAATTAAGACCGCATCCCATCCCAATCGGCTGACCTATAGTGCCAACACGGCGGCAGCCTGCAGAATGCGACTGCTATTTCAGCGTGAGTGGCGCCACACTCCGGACAAGACAATGGTCCGAGGAGCCTAAAGGGGCGTCGACAGAAATCTGATATCCGTCCGGGTGAGAGGTCAGCAGAAGGTCCAACAGGGATGGTGCATGATCCTCCACATCTGGAATCCGCGTAGACGAAATAACCAGTTGTGTCAGACCATATGCCAAGGTAAAATCATGAACAGATCTCCCCGCATGATCGTTTAAACGTGAACCAAGCCATTCGGCGTGATGGGCGTTAAAGTCGCCGAGGATCACGATCTCTGCGGAGGAGATCTGCTGTAGTAACGAATCTGTAGCCATTTGGACGTGGTCGAAGAGTCGGTCTGTTTCGGCATTACCGCTATGGGACCTATAGAGGCACCCGTAGAAGCGCGGATGGTCGTCGCTGTCTACGGGTAGCCAAAGGATGGACAGGTCCGAACCTTCAAGTCTGCCAGAACAGAACAGATGTCCTCTCTGACGTAAACGCAAACTCCAGCCCGAGGCACAAAGGAGTGTTCCAGTTTGTACCCCGGGTAGGAGAGATACGAGACATCAGCCGGAGAGGACACCTGCGTCTCGGTCAGAAAGAGCAGAGCCGGCCTCGCCGTCTCGAGATGGTAGTGGACGGCGTTTAGGTTAGAGTGAAGTCCCCTGATATTGCAGAAATTCCCGGACAGCGTGGCAGGGGTCGCCTTGGTCTTGTTGCTCCGTTTGTTCCGAGCAGTTGTAGTCTTGAGCGGAATTTTGCCGCCCCCCCCCCCCCCCCAGAATACGCGGGGCAGCCTGAGCACCCACGCTCAGAATTGGAGAAACATGGTCGTGGATGCTCAGCGAGGGATTCTCCAGGGGTGCTGGTACCCTCCTGGGGTAGTCTATCGTCATTTAATTCCGCTACCATGTTGACGGGGGGGGGGAGGGGGGTTTGGCCTCCGGCCACCTGCACTCACCAGACGAACGCGGAAGCAGAGCTTCCACTTCACGCCGGTATTCTGTGAGGTCGTGGTACCACCCCGGTTTGAGCCGGCCCATACGTGCAACAGCAAAGCTGCCGCGTGGCTCGACCACTGTTAATAATAGCATAAATTTTTTGTGTAATTTATAACTTAAATCCAGCTGATGAGACAAACAGGAAATCAATTATCATTCTGTTTTGTTAAATAAACGATGATGATAATGTTATGATAATATAAAATGTTATTTAAATGCAAACATTTGAATGTCGTAGACTATTCTTATATTTGGGAAAATACTAAATTGACTTCCATTCTTGTATTGTGTGTAAATTAATCAAAAAGACGGAAAGTTAGATAATATTTTAATGATATTCACTAAGCTACGTTGCTAGGTATATAATAGCACACATACCTATGTAATTTTGATGACAATGCACTAATGTGGTACAATGGAGCTGATCTAGTAATGGAGACTGCTGTTTCATTTTGTGAATGTAGAGAACGGGAGACCCATTTTACTGGCAACTAAGCATTCAATTTTAGTCCTCAGGGGTGAAAACGCATCTGCAGTTTGATTCTTAATGGGAAATAAATGTAGATGTCTAAGTATGAGCCCCAGCATCCACTTACCATCAGGTGGACTGTGCGATCGTTTGTGACCACGCTTAGATACTTAGGTAACCGTAGTACCGGACTACACTCACTTTGATCGTTGCTCCTCGTTGTCAGTCTCTATGTATTTCTCACCTATGTCTCACGGGATGCTTACTCTTGCTACCATGCTACCTTGTCAGTTATTTTACAAAACTACCTGTTTTTACCATTGTATTTTATTCATTCATTAATTTGTATCTCTCTATATTTAAAGATTGTCTGTAAGATTGTTGGCGTATGATAGTTATCATTGACAACATT